ATGAACAGAATACATAACCATTTACAGAATAAAGTTTTTTTTCCGCTAACTTCACTGAAATAGACAAGAACACCGTCTATACGAAAAGAATAGTTATATCTTTTCTTATAAGGAAATGTTTGTATAAGTGGCTGTTTGTCCCATGGAATTGATGAGTGAGATGCGACATAAACCTTTTAATAAATATCTCATGGAATGAAATAAGGCTGTTTTATCCCATGCGAAGGCCAAGTGTACATCTGTTTACAATAGCCATATGCAGTGACAATATGATCTATAATCGGTGAAATTGCGACAACATATTGTTATCTTATTTTTAGCTATTCAACACACCGTGAGCGACATGGCTTAGTTATGGTCGTTAATTACGGATCAAGTTTACCACAAAAATAGGCATGCAAATGGTCCATATCTGATTGTTTACAACGATAAAGATCCTATAATGGAGTCGTCTAGAAGTATCATAACAAAGCACCTGAATATAGAGCCAAAAAAAAACGAAGCATTATTCATAAAATATAATTTTCCTTATTATAATTATTAGTAACTTTTTCAATACATTGTAATAGGTATTTTATTTTAATCACTCATCATTTTATTAGATTCACAAATAGGCGAATGTAATATCGTAAGGCGATTCATCGCAAGAATTTTGAATATAAACATCACAATCGTTTTATATTGAGACAATAATCACAATGAATAGTCTTGAATTGAAGTTGTTCGATTCAACAATCATGGACTTGTATTTTCATTTATTGAAAAACGATCAGTTGCATTTACTTATCGATGAACATTTCTACCAAAAATATTTTTTCACTAATCTTTCATCGAATAGAAATCTCACTTTTGTTGAAAATATAAAATAGCTGCTAAATCAAATGGTGTAACAGGACCAAGAATATCGATTGGTATAACAAATTAAAAATGAAAAGAAAGTTTATTTGAAATAAGAGATAAATATTTACTGATAAATTTGTAGTTAATGTTGATCGACTAACATCACGTATAAATCTAAAATATTGATTTTTATCAACATGTTTTGTTAATGTAACTTTAATAATTGATCCGTCAAGTTCAGAACTCAAAAATTAAAAAAATTTAAAGAAATTTTTAAAATAAATTTCAACTAGCATTCATAAAATTCATAGTTTATAAAGCATCATCACGTTGTTTAATATGAATAAATCCATAATCTTTTAATTTTTTCACACATTCAATTGAATTTGGTTTAAATTGTTCAAATACTTCTTTTATTTATTCTTCAGTTGTACTCATCATTAAATTTCTTACATAAAGAACTCGAACCCAAATTAAAATTCAAATAATCGGAAATAAAAAATAAAAAAATTCTTTTTTGCATTTGCCATAATATCTTCATCAACTTTGATGTTCTGGTTCAGTTCAATCAACAGCAATTTGTTATCCGCATAATTGAATAATTCTTGATAATAATTTTCTTCTTGTCATTGCTGCTGATTTATGACTTTCATATTCAACAAAAGCAAAACCACGGGGGTTTTTATCATTTGCACTTGGATAAACAATAAATTTCATCAATACCTTTAGTTACTTTACACATTTCTTCAAGTAATTCTTTACGTTTTCTTTTTTGATATACCACCAACAAATAAACGACAATTATCAACTGATTGACATGCACCAATTAAATGATTTGGACGTGTTTCATAATTATTTAATTCTTTAATACAATGTTTAGCATCATCACGATTTGTATATGTTATAAATGCATAACTACAATTACAATCTGAAAAATTCATTATTAAACGCATTTCATATATTTGGCCACAACGTTCAAATAATGAAAATAATTCGAATTCAAAACAATAACGTGGTAATTTACCAACAAATACTTCATAACCACGACCTGATGGATGACGTGTTGTTGGCCAATTTGATGGGAATACATGAGAATTTGTTAATTCTTCTTTTGAATCAATTGAAGGATTATTTATTGTTGCTTGATCATCAAGATTTTTTGAAGAATATTCGAAATCCATTGATTAACTAAAACATAAATAATGTCGAAATTTTTCTCAAAAAAATGTATGCCATATGCTCTTGCTTTTTTTTTCAATTCTATGTTAAAACACTAAAACAAAAGGAAAGGTGCTCTTATAATCTTTCTCTTTTAGGATTTTTTTTTTATTCATCATTTTTCAACATTAAGAGAGATAGAGATGAAGTAGTTTCTCTTCTATTAAAGCAGCAATTCTCTTCATTTTTATTTG